GTTGACGTTGTTAGGGATTTCATTTTACTTGGATCCACAATCATTGCTCATGAAAGCAGTAATCAAGAAATCAGATGTCATATTGCACTAGGCAAATCTATTGCAAAAGACCACTTTAAAGTGTTAGAAAGCAAAGATGTTACATTGAAGACTAAGGTGCCTAACCCAGGCATAATATCTTCAATAGCCTCATAACGCAAGGTGAAAGTGGGACAAGGAATAAGGAAGACCGAAGGAGAGTTGACGCTTTTGAATTGTGTAGGTGAAGAATACCGAAAATACCATGGACTGCCAGGAGAACTAACAAATCTGTCCTGGAAGAAGTGCAGCCGGAATGCTTCTTGGAAGGGAGAATGGTCAGACTTCATCTCACCTACTTTGGTCATGTTGTCAGAAGGAACCATTCCCTGGAGAAGGATATCATGCTTGGTAAAGTAGAGGGTCAGCGAAAAAAACGGAAGCCCCTCAATGAGATGGATTGACACAGTGGCTACAGTGATGAGCTCAAGAATAGCAAGGATTGCGAGGATAGCACAGGACTGGGCGGTGTTTCATTCTGTTGTATGTAGGGTTGCTATGAGTCTGAGCTGATTCAACAGCACCTGTCAACAACAATCAAAAGTAGTCCTTTGGCCTCTCAATGTAAAATGAAAAATTTTGAACTCCTCATAATTAAAGTAGGAGCTCTGGTAGCATAGTGCCTGAGGTACTGACTGCTAACCAAAAGGCTGGCGGTTCAAACCCACCAGCCACTCCTCGGAAGGAAGGTTGAGCAGTCTACTTCCGTAGTGTTACTGCCTCGGAACCCAAGGAGGGGTTGCTATGAGTCGGGGCCAACTCTACGGCAAATAACAACAACAAATAATTCAAATAAATACATAAAGACCACTGTGATGTAATAGTTTAGCACTTTTGCTAACCAAAAGGTTGAACCCACCTACACTCTGTGGGAGATAGAGGTGGCAGTCTGCTTCTGTAAAAATTATGGCCTTGAAAACCCTACGGAGAAATTCTGCTCTGTCCTATAAGGTCACTAAGAGTGTGAATCAACTTGATGGCAATGGATTTTAATATGAAAAATAGTTTTAGAATAGGAATAGACAGATCAGTGGAGAAAAGTTAAAAAAATAAAAAAATAGATCTCATACATCTGACATCGATTTCTGAGAGTGCAATATATGGCCATGGTTCAGTTCAGTTGGAAAAGAGGAGGAGGGAATTAATGTTGCTAGTGCAGAAGCGGCTATATGTCTGGAAGAAAATAAAATGCAAATGCTGTTTCACTGATATACTCCATATAAAAATTAGTTTTACATTGATTAGTGGCCTAAATGAAAGAAATAAAGCAATAAAATCTTGCAACATAATATAGGAGACTACATTCACAAACTGGAGGAAGATAGACTTTCTATCTAACCAAGACTGGAAATTCAGAAGTTACAAAAATGAAGACATATATGATGATCTAAAGTAAAAATTCTTTTTACAGAAAAAGCATTAGGAAACAGCCTCAATAGATGGATGATAAATCTAGAAAAATGCAATTAAATGTCAAAAGATTGTGTGTGTGTGTATTACAGAGAACTCTTAGAAATTGCCAATCAAAAGATAAGCAACTTAATTGAAAAATGAAAGGAGGGCAAAGAAGAAGAGCAGTTACAAAAGACTAAAGGTGTGAAAGCACACTTAATAGTCACCTTAAGGAAAATTCAAATTAAAGAGACAATGTGATAGCATTACCAAAAATAAAAAAAATAGCTGTAATAGTTATTCCTGAGGGGAATGTTGTGCTCTCATACATGGCTGACGGAAACATGAAGTCTAACAGCCTCTTTAAGAAAGTATCTTTTTCTTTTACCCTTTAGCCCCCTGGGGCCAATTCAGTTCCCAAAAACCTACCCCATAGAAGTAAAATCAGTATATAAGGACCTGTATTCAAGACTTGTTTGTAGTAGCAAAAAAAAAAAAAAAAAAAGAGTGTGTCTGTGTATTGTGTACATATGCGTGTAAGAATATGTGAATGGCTGTGTGTATGTATGTATATAATGGAAACAAATGAATGTCCATAATAATGTGGCTTAAAGAGAATATATTATTCAGTTTTTTAAAAGAAGAAATCAGAGCTCAACCTTTTGTAGAAGACTTGGAGGGATTTTCATGAGATGTTGTTGAATAAAAAATGGTAAAATGTAGCAAAGCCTTAATAAATAATAAGTAAAAGAAAAAAAACATGCACCTAATATATATGTATATATATCTGAGAATTATGTTAGTGTACAATTCTGTAAGTATGGAGAAAAATAGGAAAGAATACACACTATGTTGTTTACAAAGCAGGGAGGAAAGGAAGAATGATGAGGGGTGATGAAGAGCCAAGCATTAAAGGAAAAGATTTTCCTTTTTTGAAAAGCAGAGTGTCGCCATGTTGTTGTTAGGTGCTACCAAGTCGGTTCCAACTCATAGTTACCCTGTGCATGATAGAGCGAAACATGCCAGGTCCTGTGCTATCCTCACAGTCGTTTCCCTGCTTGAGCCCATCATTGCAGCCACCGTGTCAGTCCATCTCATTGAGGGTCTTCCTTTTTCACTGACACTCTGCTTTACCAAACTTTTCCGATCGCTCTTAATAACATGTCGAAAGCATGTAAGACAAAGCCTCATTCATGATCCTTTTTCTAAGGAGCATTCTGGCTGTGCTTCCAAGACAGATTGCTTAATTCTTCTGGCAGTCCATGGTGTATGTTCAATAATCTTCACCAACATCATAATTCAGAGGCTTCGGTTATTCTTTATAGTTTGTATTCATTGTCCAACTTTCACATGTATATGAGGTGATTAAAAATACTGTGGCTTGAGCCAGGCACATCTTAGTCTTCACAGTGACGTCTTTGCTGTTTAACACTTTAAAGGAGTCTTTTGCAGCACATAGCAAATTTCATATGCTGCCTCCTGAGATTTGCCCAATGAAATACAGCAATTGACTGCTGTTTCCATGAACATTGATTTTGGATCCAAGTAACTTGAAATCCTTGACATCTTCAATATTTCCTCTGTTTAGCATGGTATTGCCTATTGGTCCAGTTGTGAGGATTGGGATTTTCAAGTCCACTTTGCTTTGAGCAAGCAAAGTTGTGTCTTCTGCATAATGCGGGTTTTTACTGAGTCTTCCTCCAATCCTGATGGCTGCATTCTTCTTCATCTAGTTCAGCATCTCGGATTATTTGCTCAACATACTGAATAATTTGGTTGAATACTTATGGCGAAAGGATACAACCCTAATATGCACCTTTCTACAGGTTTAAACTATGCAGTAACCCCTTGTTCTGTTCAAATGACTACCTCTTGGTCTATGTACAGGTTCTTCATAAGCACAATTAAGTGCTCTGGAATTTCCATTCTTTTCAGTGTTCTCCATAATTTGTCACATGCTTTTGTATAGTCAGTAAAACACAGGTAAACATCTTTCTGGTGTTCTCTACTTTCAGCCAGGATCCACCTGATATCGCTTATTCCACATCCTCTTCTGAAGCCGTCTTGACTTTCTGGCAGCTCTCTCTGTACTTCTGCTATCATTTTTAGATTATTTTCAGCAGAAATTTACTTGAGTGTGATATTAATAATATTGTTGGAAAATTTCCTCACTTTGTTGGATCACCTTTCTTTGGAATGGACACAAATATGGATCTCTTCCAGGCGGTTAGCCAAATAGCTGTCTTCCAATTTTCTTGGCATAGACAAGTGAGTGTTTCCAGTGTTGCAGCCATTTGTTGACAGATCTCAATTGGTATTCCATCAATTCCTGAAGCCTTGTTTTTTACCAGTGCCTTCAGTGCTGCTTGGACTCCTTCCTTCCGTACTTGATCATATAGTCCCTCCTAAAATAGTGGAACACTGACCAATTATTTTTGGTACAGTGACTGTGTATCATCTTCTTTTGATGCTACCTGTATCACTAAATATTTTGTCCCTAGAACCTTTGAATATTGCTACTGAAGGCTTGAATTTTTTCTGTAATTCTTTTAGCTTGAGAAATGTTGAATGTGTCCTTCCCTTTAGTTTCTTACTCCAAGTCTTTGCACATTTCATTATAATACTTTGTCTTCTCAGGCTTCCCTTTGAAATCTTCTGTTGAGCTTTTACTTCATCATTTCTTCCTTTC